TGCACTAATTTCTCAGAAATCTAGATTCAAAACTGTTATGGTGGGGCATTTTTTTTTTTTCTTCTTTACAAACATTTTAAACTAAGTATGGGAATTTAAGGGATTTGATTTAAAGATTAAAACAAGATCATAGAAAAGGTTCTAAATCTTAAATCTTTTGCCAAAATGTTTTTGTTTCTTTTTTTTTCTTTTCTTTTTTTTTTTTGGCACTTGCGATGAAAATGAGGAGCCAAAGTGTAGCAAAATGTGTAAATAAAACCAATGAGGTTAAGGCACTATTTGCTTTAATTCAATTTACATTTCTTATTTAATGCTGTCCTACATTAATTTATATGCAATAAGCAAAGCAAAACCTTAAACTTACTTTTTTAAAAGTGCCTGCAATTCAATACATTCACCTAAAATAAAAGTTTTTGTTGTAGCTTTCAGATCAGTTTGATCACTAAAATGAGGAAATGGTGCATACAATTTAGGAAAAAAAGGATGTTCAAAATAGGCTTAGCAAAATATTTAAGTGAAAGTAAACTATTTGAGAACACATATTTTTGATTTGTTTAAGAAATGGAATGAAGCGGCTTTTAAAATGTTGATGGAGTTTTGCAGGTGGGAATCTGTTTTTTAATATAAGGGAAGGTCTGCTGTATGTGGAAAGATGTTTTTACTTTTCTGGATGGATTATGTGATTATATTTATTTGGATTTTAAGGTTGTCAGAACAAAGTGTTGTGCAAGAACTACATTGGACATAGTGCTACAGCAATAAAATAGTATTCACTAGAGTTGGTTGTTTTCTGACATTTTTTGCTATCCTTGTATTTTTACATCTTTTCTCCTGCACAAATGAAGACAGTATTTTAGGCAAGCTTCTATGATTACTTAGTATAACCAATTTGTGGATTTAGGCTTGATCAAACATTTTATATATATATATATATACGGATTTTCTTGGATTTTTCTCAAGCATTTTACATGCAGCACATGGTTTATACAAATTGATTTATATAAGGATAAATTGATTTATATATAGGAAGATTTTTTTTTTTGAATGTCTCAAAACTGAGATCAATACTAAAATCGAAAAAAGTAAGAAGGTCGAGTACTTTTGAAACCCTCCTTTAAAATTTGCCAGTAAATCTTAAATAGAGGAAAATGTAATTTATTTTAAAAATTTTCCTAATTTTAAACCTTCCTCTTTTATCTCAGTATTGCCACATTTAGATCTTTTTAATGACATGACAAACTTGTATTTGGGTTTTTCCAATTCATTCATTAACCAAACTTAATAGAGCTGCTAACTTTAAACGACATGAGAAACCTCAGATGATCATTTCTGAGCTCGGCAGACTTCCGACAAAATAAGTAAGTCAAATTGGGGCACACTTTGAATGGAGTCCAAGGTAACGCCTCAATCTCTCCTTGTGTGAAACCATTGGCATCACAAAACAAATCTGCAAATATGTCAGGAAGAGAATTGTGGACTTCCATAAGTCTGGATCATCCTCAGGTAAAATTTCCAGATATAAAAAATTATCCTCAAGTATAAAACATACTTGGTAGGACTTTGTCTCCCAAGATTTTGTTCCAAAATGCTTTAATCAGCCCAGGAAAAAAAAGTGAAAGACCTTTTGAAAATAGCACAGAAGCCTCCTCAATTGGACGTATGGTGCTAGTGGAACCATGCTATGAAATGCTTTGCTGAAGGAGGGACGGCTTCACTCCACAATAAAGCAAGAGGAAGAAAAATACATGATTTAAAAAGATCTATAAGAAAAATATTATGCTTTAATCAAAATCCTACGTCTCTGAAAAATGGGGGCGGAGCTAGAGGAGGGCATGGTCATGGCCTAGCTAATCTATGGCCACTCCTACCAGGGGATTGTTCCCATGTGGATGTAATTCACCACTAATGGAAAAGCAGTTCTTCTCTGAATCAGAGACCAGCAGCAATGATAATGTTCTATTAATAATAACAATCTATTAAACAATAAACTGACAACAAAAATACGGGAAGTTATTATTCACAACTATATACTGCAATTTAGGGTGACTAAAATAGAATTCCTGCTCTTTTAAGAATCAGTCCTTTATGTTTTCATTGAGGAGAGTTTTTGTCTCTGCACTCATTTAGTCTTCTATATATAAAAACAGTTGCTCATGCAATTTAACGTAGACCTCTAAATTATTAATGTAGAAAACAGATGTCAACATGAATGAAGCAGGAGTTCAGGAAAATCTGATTTGTGTGCTGTGATGTATTTGGAAGCTATAGATTGTGTGACTGTTGATTATGCTGTTGGGATAGTTTACTTTGGAACTGGTTCCTGCTCCTATAAGTTTTCTGGCCACCCAGAAAACTAATAGTTGAGAGGGTACATTGGTCCCTGCCACCATTTCTGAAAGGTACGTTCATTTTCAAATATTCAGTAAATATTTGTGGCTCCTTTGTTATGAATTACTGCATCACTGCAGGGCTGCCTCGATGTGTCCTGAATTTGAAGAAAGATAAAGAAAGAAATCTCTCATTCAACCATTTATTAAAGTGAATAATTGGTAATCCGGGAATAACTAATTATTTCATGTTGTTCAATAAGAGTGAAAAAATTATTAAATAATTTTTACAGTGTATGTTAATATCTACATTTCTATTTCTATACAGAATCACACTCATTACCATAGATTCAGAGAAATGTGTCTAAAATGCATTATGGAAAGATACACATGGGTGAATGACGTGTTCTGGTGGTGAGTGTGTTTTGCAGCTTTTCTTGGTCGATGACGCAGTGGAAACGTAGTTTCTCAGATATGTGTGTCTGAGGATGGATACATACTGAACTATGAAGAGCAAACAGTGCCACAGTCAGGCGGCACGTACAGAGCTTTGCCTCTGCAGTATCACCAGCAGAGCATCAGTCAGGAATGCAGGAGGTTTCATCTTTCTCCCTGTTTTAAAATGATCTTTTGGTGAGCAGTTAATATGATTTAAATTATGGGGAAGATATGATGCCCTTCAACTATGGTGCAGTTCACACAGCAGGACTGAGAAATAAGACTTTAGAGTGACTGTAAAAAAAAATATAAAAAAGCAACCTCATGTGAATGCAGGTGTATCTGTGTGCACTTAATGAGACATTATGTATAAAAACTTTCAATTTGCTTTTTTATTTAACCTTTATGAGTAAAGCATTGTTTGATGAGCAGACTGACACCTCAGTAGCTCAGAGCCGATACATCCATAAGCCTGTAGCCTATTTTCCTTCATTTACTTTGGGTTGGTTTTTTTACGTGCTGCTCAGTGGATGTGATGTCAAGCGAGTATACATTGACTGCCCAAAAAAAGTGAAGCCACTGGCCACCATATTGGTACTCCCCACTCTGATGGAGACGCACCATAAAAATGTCTACGTGTGTAGCATTTGGCTTTAAAACAGTTTGCCAGCTCTGTGAAAACGTTTACAGGTAATTTCACGGTCAGTGGATGTACTAACCAAGAAAATCCATAAATATGCCAATGTTTCCTATACTATAGTATGTAGCGTAACAATAGTCCGGCTATCTCAGACTGACTAAAAAGATATTGATTGAGTTAGCCATCGAAATTGTGTCTAAAGTTAGAAAATAGAAAGTAGAGTAAATAGACAGTAATTCACTGTGAAATATCAATGTAGTAATTCTTAAGTGGATGACTCTGTCATTTTTGTTGTTTTGTTGTTCCATGTTGCATTCATGGACTGTGGGCATTCTCTGCAGCATTTATTTGCCTTTTTGGCAAAAATCCTGTGAAAAATATTGCGTTAAAGACATTTACACTCGAATAGTTAAAAGCAACATGGAAAGGGGCATGTCTCCAGCACTGTCAATCACGTTTCCCCGCCCACTCCGTCAGTTTGGGGTCAAAATCTGACTGTGAAAAAATCTGATTTGAAAGTATAACAAAAAAAAAAAGAAAGAAATTGAAAGTAATCAATTTGAATGTATAAATATAAAAACTGCAATAAAGAAAATAAAAAAATGTGTAATTAAAATACTGAACTGAATTTAGATTAAATTCTTATTATTTTATGCTTGCTTTTTTAGCTTACTTTACATTATAAGGTAAAAATTTAACATTAAATATCAACTTCTATTTTTTCTGTGTCAATGTCTGGTTGAGGTTTGAGGACCCAAATGCAGAGGCAGGGAGGTCAGAGGTGAGTTCTTGCAGTTTTAATGAATGATCACAGGTCACAGAGGCGGAAATCCACAAACCCAACTTAAAATGTTACACAAACCAGAACCATGGAGACATCAGGAGAAAACAAGCGCAAGGAGCCAGGGAAAGACGAGAAACCAGCACTGCACAGGGAGGGTATTTATGGACTCCTTTATAAGACTTGCATCTTCTCTTTAAAAGACCATGAATTCTGTACTTATCTTTAATGTTAGTATATTGATGTGCATAATTAACCATTGTGTTTTTGTTGTCAAGTGACAACAAAAATGCTGAATATTGATAGTATTACTGTAGTATCACTTGAGAGTATTACTGCTGCCACTGTCAGTATTATGGGGGGGAAATGGTAGGGGTGGCCACAAGGGTGGCCAAAGATTGGGTAAGGGTGGCCATGGCCATCCCTGGCCCCCCATCTAACTCTGCCCCTGCCAAAAACACATCAAAATAGGAATTAACCCAATAAAACTAGAAAACAAAGAAAAACATCAATAAATATGAAACTGAAAACTTAACAGAACCAAGACCATAACATTCTGTTTCAACTAAGATTTAAAATTTTACAAACATTTTGACCCCTTTCTGATTAAGAATGATTAGTTTTCATAATCAGTTGTTTAAGAACAAAAATCCTGCCAAAATCTAAATATATCTGATATCAGCTGCAGTCTATTTAAATAAATGCAACCAGTTCTCTGCGGCATTAATAACCCGCCATACACTTCCGCTGGTCTCACCTCTCTCTGCTTCAGTGAGGCACGAATCGCGCCTCCCATCAGTGAGTGGGCTGCCCTCCGTCATCCTGCTGGCTGAGCACACTGGAGCAGACCCACCGACTGCGCAAAGATGCGTCGATGCGCCTCGCAGAGTCGCGACGTATGAAGAGATGCGTAACGGCCGCAGGAGGACCGGTCCTCCGGGTGTTTCTGCTCTCAGAGCAGACAGAAGCGGACTGAAGGCTGCTTTGGATGATTCTGGAGCATCATTGGCGCAGGCCGACTGACATGATGCGGCTGATCCCAGTTCAGGATGCTCCCAAAGCTTCCTCTGCAAACAATGAAGATGTGGAAGGACATTGAAGAAAGGACACATCATTTCAATTCTGGACTGAAAACACTATAAGCCATCACATCAGGTAAGGATCTACAATCAATCAGCTCTCGTATCCATGAGGTGATTGTGGTTGGGGGGGCTCTGCTGGTGTCTTTAAACGTGGTTCATCTTTATTACAGCAGCACATCCTTCTGATATGATCAGACACACTGTAGCCAACACCTACCTTTGTCCCTGCTGCTGCATGTTAGGCTGGCTGGGAATTGAAAATAAAGGCGATAAAATCTAGATTATACACGTCTGCTGATCTTTGGTAGCTGATGTCACAGCTGGTCATGATGGCACCAGGTTGCGCAAAGTGTAAAAGCACATCTCCCCCCTTTAAAATGGCCTATCTTTCATGAACTGAGAAAATAATTATACAAAAAATCATAATAATAGATTGCCTTGTAAAAAACACCGATTTAACCTTTTTTGCATATTTTCCCCTAACAAAATCTCAAACGCGTTCTAATTTAACATAACAGTCCAACACAAAAGGTAAAGTGCAACTAAAAGGTTATATGCCGATTGCGTTCAGAAGTCCAATAAGCTAATTAGGAGAGCTGCTCAAGGTGCAATTAAACAATAATCCAGGTTTAAGGTTTCTAAGAGAACCCGGAGACACAGCAGACAGAAAGTTATGGAGAGGTTTAAAGCAGGGCTGGGCTAGAAAACAATATCCTGAGCTGTGAACAAATGGGAAAGGTAGGGTACGACCACAAATGAACTCAAATTTGCAGTAGAAATTTATTCCAGAAGCACCTAATCGTCCCTTGGATGCCACGGAGGAGCTACTGAAATACACAGCTGAGCTCTGTTCAGATGAAACCAAAACTGACGTGTAAATTAATCAATCAGCTTTATTTATATGTAACACATATTTTGCAAGTAGAATAAGAAATAAAGTAGTAAAAAATCAGAGCAGTAAAAGGTGAGTGAAAAAACAAACATTGCCAATCATTCTAAAAAGAGAATTCCCACAGTGAAACATGGGGGTGGCAGTATTATGCTGCGGGGATGTGTTTAAAAAGATGGGTGGAGTTAATTACAGGATAAACTTAAAGGAAATGTGTTGAGGTTCAGCTTCCAGCAGGACAATGTAACCTTAAATCAACCACACTATATATAGTTATATATAGTTTTATAGGGATTTAAACGATCCAGCTGCAGCCGGATCATTAAAATCAAAGCTCATCCTACTGAAGTCCAAGATGAAATCCAGTTCAGCTTTTGTGGCAAAGCTTGACATTCCTGTTCACGGATGACCCCCACCTAATCTTACTGATCTGGAACCTTTTAGCTTGTGAGGAAAAAAAACAGGTTGTAAATATAAAAAACTAGAGGCATCAATTTTTTTATGGTCTCAGTGTGTCGAAATATAGAAAAAAAATTAATGCTTTATGAGCACTCAAAAAAAGTGATACAAAATTACATTTTGTTCAGTTCTCCTGTTAATTAATCCTTTGACTTCTTTGTTTTTTTAACAGATCATTTTGTAAAGAAAAAAAAAATAATTTTATTGTTAAAAGGGCTTTTCTTTCTTCTTTTATTAATCTTAAATGTCTGTTTTGTCCTGCTCCGCTGCAGCATTGTCACTTTGACATCCCAGTCAGCCTGAGAGACGCGAGTCCAGCTGACAGTGAATCCAGCAAGGCAGAGAAGACAGCGTCACAGAGCATCAGAGTGGAAGAAAACAAAATCCTCATTACCTTCACTCTTATCAGCTCTGTCAGCAGGACATGTGACCCGCTTTTTCCTCTATTTTTGCTCAAAGACTTTCCGGCCTGGAGATTTTCTCTTTTTTTTTTTTATCAAGAAATTGCTACCTGCTAAAATGTGAGATTAAAAAGATCAGCTCATTCATTTGGTTTTATTGTGAGAATTTCTGAAAGGGATATTTTTCACAATAACTTCAGCTATTTCACCATGCACAGAGTACTTTGTCAGAGTTATTGTCCTGCTGCATTAGAGCTGCCAAGCTCTGAATTAAGAATAGATCCCTGAGAGCGGCAGCGTTCCTTCTCACAAATGAAAATTCAGCTCAACCTGACAGGCTGCATTTTAATAAAGCACTGGCACAGAAATCACCATAAAACTTAGATGAGGCCGACGACGGGCACTATGCTCCAGCAGAACAACAACAACAACTACCCCTGCCTGAACATGTCAGACTGCCCCCAGGAGATGCTCCAGAAGGTCTCCAGAGCCTCGCTGCCCTTCCCCAGCAGAGTAGAGCTGGGCCTGGGAGACCTCCCTCTTATTCGTGGCCTTCGAGCGTGGGCTCTGTGCTCCAAGAACCGCCGCAAGGGCGGCGGCCTGCTGGGGGGAGGTAAACCCCCCACAGCTCCCCCTCTGGCTAGAGGGACCTCGATGTCCTGCCCCAGGCCTGCAGACGTGTACCTGAGCGGCTATGGACTCCCCCTGGGGCTTGACGCCAGACAGGCCGGAATTGGAGCTTTGGTCACGGTGGCTACTCTGAAGACCTCAGAGGGCAGTGGGAAAACACAGACTCAATGCCTCTTCCTCCGAACGGAGAAAGGGAGCTGTTTATACTCTACTGCCAAGCCCAGTTCCGGTGCATCTCCCAGCATGGTCGGTGAATGGCTGAGAGGAAAGAGAGGAGGTGGAGAGGGAGGAGGAGGAGCAGACCCTCCGTCTGCAGAGGCTGGAGCAAACAGGGTCAGGGTGCGATCAGGCAGGCGGTGGAGGAAGTCCGGTAACACAGCTGGCCGGGAGAGGAAGGCAGTGAGCAGAGAGCGGCAGCAGAGGAGCTGCAAGAGGATTGAACCCAGAGAAGTAAAGCAGGAAGAGCAAGACAAAGGACGTCTGGATGGTAAACAGTTTCCCTGCCTGCAGCTGGATAACAGCAGAGGAGGAGGATGCAACAGTGTTTCCCCTAAAACCTGCTCTCCAAAGAGTAGCTGGGATGAATGCGAAGGAGGTGAAAGCCCAGCAAGAGGAGCTGGAAATGAACTGAACCTTGAGGAGAAAGGAGCAACAAGGGAGAGACAAAGGAATGAGGAGGACGGAGGAGTTTCAAATGCTGTTTTGGATGCATCAAACCCAGACCGAAACAGAAACCCCAACAGGACCTCTGATGATCAAGAAACAAGACGAGGTGAAGGAGTGGAGGAGCTGAAGGCCCTAACGTCTCTCCTGCCGGGTGACTTAACGAGGAGAGATGAGGAGGCAAACACTGGTATGTCCGGGACGCATGAGAGCAGCAGGGAGTTCATGGTGACACCGAGTCACAGGAAGCCTGAAAATGAAACAAAGCAAGAAACAGAACAAGAAACCAACAAAGAGATGGAGTGTCCTCCTCTAGTCTTTATTACCCAAACAAAAGAGTCCTCCCATCCTGCAGAGGGCAGCGTCTGCATTACTGATCAGGACACTTTCTGGGTTTATTCCAATCAAAACCAGCTTAAAGTTGAACTTGGCCCAGAAGGAGAAGATAAGTGTGCGGTTGAAGAAGAACCGAATATTTGCAACCTTCAGCCTCCAAAGCCAAACTCTGCAGCTGATGAGAGCAACACTGTGAACAAGGAAACCACAGGAAACAACAGCCAACAGGAGGAGAAAGGAATTTTGTGTTTGCCTGTCAGAGAGAGAGATCTCTCTGTCTATGAAAGCTTGGAGGGAAGGATTGGGAATCTAGAGGAGGAGTGCACCTGCAGCAAGCTGCATGATGGAAGCAGGGATGAAGAAGAGCAGAGGAGCAGGGCTTCAGCGGACAACTGCAGCCTAGCGTCCCTGGAGCCAGGCAGGAAAAAAGAGGGCGACACTTCAACGTGTGTGGAAACAAATGGGCAGAAACCCACAGTGGTCTGTAATGGTGCTGATCCCCCCACCTCTAATCCTGCCCCTCCTCTGGCATCCATGGTAACCGGCCTGCCATGTCTGGAGGTGGAGGCGGAGAAAGAGGAGGTAGTAGGGCATGGAGGAGGAGGACATAAACAGAGTAGGAGTCCAAGGGGAGAGCTGGAGGAGAAAGCTGAGGAGGTGAGGAGCTCCACCGTGGCCACTGAGGAAGGGAGGAATGAGGAGGAGGAGGATGAGTTTGGAGTCTTCATGCAGGCAGAGGGTGAAGCAGCCTGGAGCGAGGGGGTTAACATGTCTGCCTCTGTGCCTTGTAGAAGCAGAGGGAGTACTGGTGAGTCCCAGCTTTGGTATTTTATCACTTCTCACTCTGTCTTGACTATTTTTCATCCTTCAGATCATTATGATTTTCTCCTTCCTGTTTTCCACCAACTAGATCAACCCTTTCTATCAAGGCTGTCAGGCACACATTCATAGAAACCCACAGACTCTGCGTTGTGCAGGAATTACCAGCAGGTTTAGAGTATTAGAGTGATTTGAACCTTTTCTGATCTCTCAGGAATGCAGCAGCATTTACTTTTCAAATGAAGTCTGGCTGTGATTTGCTTTGTTGTTGTACATTACATTCTTCCCCTTCCAGAGCTCTGACATTTGTTTTTTAATAAGAGCAAAGTCAGCATGAAGCTGCTTAAGTGAAGTAAGTACCCTTTATGCTTCAGTAGGACTTAGAGCCCCTCCATTAGCAGCATTAATTGTCAGTATTTCTTTTTTTTGTTAAAAGACATCATAGTTACCTAATGCAGAAAGCTATTACCCGTTTCTGGCATTTTAACAATCCTGGACTGGTCAGCTGTGCAACTTTATTAAAAGCAGCAGCATAGTGGCTTTAGATGCAGCAGATGTTGATAGGGCAAACACTTCCAATCTGGATAACCAGCACTCTCAAGGTTATTCTTCAAGGTTCTTCATAAATTTAACCAGATTAACACATTTTGAAGGAAAAACTTCCCCTCATTAAGTTCATAAAGAACCTTGGAGTGCTGGTTATCTAATTTTCTAACTGTTCACCCATCTATTCCTCCATTGTTGATAACTTTTAATGTAAATACCACTTTGTTGTTACACTCTCCCTATAACTGATATCAAGCCATCCAGGAAGTTAGCTGAAGCTAAGGTGCTTGGTGTGTCGCTTTTAATGGGAAAGTAGAGGATCATAGTATTTGGTTGTTTCCTGAAGAAATCGGTCAGATGTAGCACATAGCTCCTTATATGCTTTCCTTTTTCCTTTGAACGTGGAATGAACTAGTTGGAATGATGTAATCTCCAAGGTGAATGCATAAGAAAGAAGGAACGTATTTGTGATTCAAATGGCAACCTTCTTGAGTGAGGAATTCGGGTATCATGACTTCCCGACTCATATTTCCAACATTTTGTGGCTTTCCGTTTCAAATTTACAACCTGGAAGTCGGGAATTTTGTATTCTGAGTCCAAATGAAATGCCCCACTGTGATAAGGCTAAATAATGTCTATTTAAATCACAGAAACCTTCACAAAAAAATAGCTTCCACCTTTGTTTTATAGTCCAGTAAAAGCATAATATAATCCATAAAACACAAGATTTGTTGATTAATATAAATGTATGTTCTACTATTAACATAAGTAATATTTTTCTTTAGAAAGCCCTTTCAGAGCAGATATATTATTCTCGTCTGTCCTGACCTGGATTTTTGGCAGGCTACTCCCCCTCACTACATGTTATTAATCTTTCAGAGTTGGGCTGATGGAGGGGGAGGAGAAAAGGGGAGCTGAGAACTCTAAGCTCCTGTTAGCCTCAGGTTATTGGGCCATGAGAGAAGGAGACATTCACACAGATGAAGTGTCAGGTAGATTCTTCATGCAGCGTCTGAGCCAGGGAGGAAGGGCAGGGCTGCAGGAATCAAAGGGACAAAATGAATTCAGCCAAATGAGACTCTGAGGGGAAAAGGACAAATAGAAAGCAGGCAACATAAAAACACAGTGAGAGATTGATTCATCAAGAACTAATTTAGTTGGGGATAATAAAAGTATAATTAATTACTTAAAGATATACAATCATTTGTTCATCTGTATTCACAAACAGGAATTGGAAAGCATTCGAATAATGGAGAGGACGACTGGACAGCTTTCCCTCAGGACCCGACGGATGAAAGCAGGGATGCTGTGGAACAGTGGTGGCCGGCCAGCGCGGTGGAGGCGTGGAGAGATGGATCTCCAGCCAATCACAGTCTGGTACGCTTCTGGCTTTAGTTTGGTTGGTTAACATTAACAAATCATTCTTTTGTTATAGCTTCCTTTAGAGCAGAGGTCATGAATAAGCGGACCAGGGTCCAGATCCAGACCTTAATTCGGACCCAACCTGATTTAAAACATTAATAAATTACCGCATGTTATTTGACGACAGTGTCTAACTTCAGTTGCACCGCTTCTCCTGTTTGTACGGTAAAGCCCTCCAGAGTTTCCGGGACCAGGCTGCATGTGATACAAATTAGCCAATGAGCTGCTGTCAGTCTGGGTTGCTGCTGCTGCTGCTGCTACTTTTAGACACAGCAGGCAAACCTGTGGCAAGCCGGGCGATTGGAAAGAAGGAGAACATGATGAGAAAAAGAGCAGAGAAAGTGTGGACTGCTGGAAGAACTGCAATGAACTGGTAAAAGAAAAGAGAAATGGCGTGCTCAAAGATCACCCTGCGCATTTTGAGTATGTTTGGCTCAACCTGCTGCTGTGAAGCAGGATTCTCCACCATGAACAGAATCAAAAATAAATATGGATCCAGGCTCCAAATAAGCACCTTGATATGTGCTTTAGAATGGCTTTGTCTCCATTCAAACCCAGGTTTAAAGCCTTGGAGGTCAACATAAAGACAACTTCTCTCATTAAGCCAGAAAAAAAGAAAATAACAAACAGTTGGTTCAGGTGTTGATCAGGAAATTGTCTATATACCAAACTGAACGATTGTTGTTCTCTACTTCAAAAAACACTGTACATTTAAAAATCAAAAAATGTTCTTTTTTTCTATATCTTTTTATTTAAAAAGTCAATGTATAAAATGGATGCATAAAACACCTCATTTTATTTCAGTGTTAAATGCTGTTTAAAGTAACGGATTATAAGTAAAAACATCTCCGGACCTTTACTGGTTTTCGATTTTCTTTATTAAGACCCCGCTGATTTTTAATTGATCACCCCTGCTTTAGAGCGTTTCTATTTTATTACATCAGCTTTATTGTCTTTGTCTTGCTGCTTAGAAAAGTTCTGATATGAAATATAAACGGTCCCTTAAACATTTTGGCTAAAGTTTAGATGTATTTTTTCTACAGGGCCTGTTTTAGCAGAACAAAATTGACTTGTTAAGGCGTAGGGTCGTTAAACCCTACAACAACCTGGACACAAGCTGTTTGGGAGTCATGCCTTCAGGTCGGCGCTACAGAGCGCTGTTAACAGGGTGTCATCCTAATGAACACTTAATAGCTGAATCCTCAGGTCAATGCCGTACATATTTACACCATTTTTGCCATTTCTACCTCTTAACATAGAATATTTTTCTAGTTATATATTTATTGTTCAAATGTCTAAGCACATTGGAAGCAAAGAAGCTGATTTTGATGTGTTTGTAGCTTCAACCCTTTTCAACTGTGAAATGATCCAGAAATATCAAAGCTGTTAGCTGAGAACATAACCTTCCTTTGTCACATGTTTTCTCTTTAGTTAATCTGGTTGTTGTTCTCCAATCTCATCATTACATTTCAAGGTCATTTCTTTAGTTGATGTTTTGGATAAAGTTCCGAATGAGCAGTTCTCTGCTCAGTGACTGATTAACAGAATATGCAGATAAATAAAACAGGCGGTAACAGATTACCACCAGATGTATTCCCCTGGTTTTCCGCATTGGTTTAGATATAACATAAAGTAGGTCATAATTTTTAAGATGCAGGAAAGTTATAACTTTCTAATATCTACATGTTTAACAAATGTAAAAAATCTGAAAAGTGTGGCCTGCATTTGCTTTTCAGACCATCAGGTTTAATACTTTACAAAACTCCTAACTACTATATCTCGAGCAGCTTTAATCATCTAAAGACTAAAATTGCTGCAAATTCTTCTTCTTACAGGTCTGAAGCTCAGTCAGATCAAATAAAGAGCTTCTGTGAATATAAATAATAATGTTTTAACAGGGGTTAAAACAGGGTCTTAACAAGTTGGATTTCTATTTGGACCTACTGGGCCATTCTAGCACATAAGCATGCTTTTATTAAAACCACAAGGGTCGCACTCTAGTCCTTTAGATGTGCCTGTGCTGCAAACGATGGTGTCTCTGGACCAGTTACAGCAGGGGGTCTAAAGATATATATATATATTTTTTTTTGGTTGAGACAAGGGACAAGGGAATAACAAACACACGTACACAAAAAAAGAGGGAAAGCGTGCATCGTTTAGTATATTAGGTAAGTCACAAAACCAAGGTTGCAGGCCACTGATCTGACAGATGAAAACTGTAAATTATATCTCAATAAGACTAAAGCTTAAGGCTGACTGTAATATTTAAATAATTCTTGCTATATTGTAAAGGCAAAATATTAAAGATATATTGGAGGATGTTCTTTTTCCAGGTGAATCATCAAAATGATTGGTGCTCCTGATTGTCAATCATTCTGGTAATATGTTTACGTAAGGCTGTCCTACGTGCTCGTCCCCATTTTCACTTAACAGTGGTGACTCTGACAGAGTGGTGCATAGCAATGCAAACAGAACATTTTAAACAGAGCGTGAATGAGGAGAAATGGGCTTGTGCACGCTCTCACACGCATTTAATAAGAATTTCCTGTTGAGAGCAGGTACAGGGTTTTGCATGTGAGTTTTTTTTTCTAAAGTAGGAAAAAAACCTGGCTGAACAGGGGAGATGTTCTGTTCCCCTGTAAGGGGGAGGGGGCTGAGATGATAGCGGGAAGGAATCAACTAAGACAAAACAAGGCTTGTTTGTGGTCCACTCTATAAAGCCTCAAACTCAACGCTGTTTCTGACATTTTGAATTGAAAAAGCTTCCTGGATGGGAAGCGAAACCTAAAAAACAAAGTCCAGTGGATTGTTTTTTAACTTTTAACTTTGTTTGGAATAAGTATGACCTGGATGACTGAGAATCTTGACCAGCATGTTCATAAAGAAATGTATTTGGTGTTAAAGTACAAAAACTGATCTAGAAAATTACAAAAAAAGTTCCTCAAATGACTGTATTTGCTCTTAATTTGAGCAGGTAAATAAAGGAATAATTATTTTTGCCTCTAAAATAAGATAATGGGTGGGGTTTATTTTTCTTATTTTAAATGTAAATCATCTTATTTTGTGTATAAAATGTCTCACCAACCTACCCAAATGAAAAGAAATATTCAGGTAATAAAAAAAAAAACATACTTGCAGTGTATGCTTTTCATAGGGGGGCCACAACAGGGGCCTGGATCACTTCTACATAGGCACTGGCCCCTGTCTGCTCCTGTCTAGAACCTCTCATGGCTTCATCATAACTGAATCTAATCATTAGTTCAATGGCAGGAGTTTTTGTTACAGGCTGAGCAGAAACTGTGTGTTGAACCAGGCACAGATTTAAACACTGGTTTTCATTTTCAGATCTTCATAAGTTGGGATATTGCCTTAAACTTCTTCAAAACTTCCTCCCTAATCTATTAATGTTTGGAGTAAAATGAATTATGATTGGGCTCATTTGCAGGGAACTTGTTAGGATTTAAATTTTGAGCAAATCTTCATTACACTAAGTTTAGTTGATGTTTTGTTTTAAATCTATGAAAGCAGAACGTAGAAAAAATCTTTTCATCCACATGTCCGTTTAATAGCAGTCATCTTTGCCTTCCCCACAGCAGCACAGCTCCTCACAGTGCCCAGCATGACGAGTGTTTTTAGGTTAACAACTTTTCTGGATTTTGCACAGCAGCATGATTTACTTTTAGAACAGTCATAAAAGATGGAAGACAAAGCTGCAGTGGAAAAGTCTCAGTGGACATTAAACGCAGTCTGAGCAAAGATGCAAATGAAAAATTGGCATTTTTAATGCTTCAGGGAGAAGGGGGGTGGTTTTAGATTAGATATTTTAAATACTTCTTTACATGTGAAGTATTTACATAAGATGTGATAAATAGCTTAACAAGATGCACAGTTTTGAGGTTTTGATGTTTCTTTGTCTCTCCTGCAGGCGGCTGTCTTTGCTGATGCATTCCCCTCGCTGCCTGGTTGTTCTCCAGGTGACTCCTGTGACCTGGAAGCTGTTCCCACACTGACACGGCTCCTCCGGGACGAGGCCAGACAGGAGCAGGGGTAGGTGATCCATCCCAACCTGGATGTGCTGCTAAAGCAGGCAGATACTGTATGATATTTTCAGTCGTTGTACTCAGCTGCAGCTCAAACTTTATGACTAAACCTTAGGGTTTAAAAGCTCACAATGTGCCTAAAACCACATGTCGGAATCAGCGGCGAGAGATGCCGCTGATCGGACTCGTCAATCTGGAAGAAGAAGAACTACCTTGTTTGCACATGTGCAGTGCTGAAGGTTCCAGCACTTCTGCTTGTAGCTCTGCTTTAACTGCAGGATTTGCTCATGAACACCTCACCAGGGCCGACTGAATTTCAAACATGTTTGATTTCCTCTCAACCTTACTATTCCTAATCGGAGATTGTCGCAAGAGGCTAATCGTCCCTCATTACCCCCTGTATACTACACAACGCCGGATACGCGACAAGGCTGAAACTGGACATGATCTAAAAAAATTCTTGCACAACATGAGAATCGGCTTAATATGGGCAAAAAAATCATACAGTGTATGCCTGCCTTAAACCTGCAGCCAGTGTGGATGAAAAACTCCTGTTTGTTGCTGGAAGTTGGGTTTTTTTTCATTGCAGTTTTAGCTCATTTTGTAAAATATGTTCCTGCTTTGGACTTTTTTAATTAAACAGGTTACAGGAAGAAAATTATCCTCTTTCTGATGTCAAAAGTAAAGAAAATGTGCTTTGGCATCGACTTAATCATATTTAGTTATTTTAACACAATTGCTTTATGTCCTACCCTGCTAACATGAAAACATTGTGTTAAAGTCACTAAATATGATTAAGTAAATGCCAAAAATGGTTGCATTATTATGTTGATATCCTGCAAACATCTTGTTTTTATTTATGGGTTAGAGATAAAGTTTTAATGCATTCTGTTTAATTTTAGTATAACGATGCTCTTCATGTCTTAGAATTTTTGTCCAATTGAATTTGATTAAATGTTCTAAAGATCTGGCTTCGTCTAAATAAATATTAAATAACTTCTAAATTACAAAACATTAATTTATAATTAAAATGGAATCCTAATTTAGAATACTGTTTTTAGTGCCTTTAGATAATTCTCTTTCCTACAAATCTTTTTGTAAAAGGGAGATCAAGGATGTATTTTGACATCTTATATAAAGCCATGTAATTAAATGATTTAGCATTTCAATTTTAAATTTAGAAATATTGCTTTTTCTTATCTGTGTATGAAATAAAATCTACTGCTGAATTTAATCTTTATAATTTTCAATCTGATCAAAATGATTGAACTTCTGCTTTTTTTTCTCTGATCTGATTTTGTTTTAACATGCTAAGAAAATTGGGCAACAATTCTTGCAAATCTGAAAACATTAGCTTAAATCTGATTTAATACAATAAAACCTGTTGACTTGTCAGCATGCAAAGTTTCTTCCTGATGACTATTATTTTATTTAAAAAAAAAAAAGAAAAAAAAAAAAAAAAAAAAATTAAAAAAAAAAAAAAAAAAAAAAATTAAAAAAAAAAAAAAAAAAAAAAATGATTTCTTTTTTTTTTTTTTA